AACCAGAAGCGAAATGTCATAATACTGGAACAAATTATGACATTTAAATATAATAATAAAATTATGACATATAAATATAATAAAATCAACTAACGGATTAATTAGTCACTTAAGAAGGGACATAGAACAAAAATGTCATAAATCTCTCATGTAAAGGCTAAAATTGTAAAAATAATCATATTTATTCTTGATCCAAAAAACCACCGAAACACATGGGCTAAACAATTGTTCCAACCCGTTTCTTTTTTAGTGATGTCTTGTTAAACAATTTTTTTATAAAGCATCTTAAAAAATGATTGCACAACTTGGGTAATTAGACTTCAATTTTCATAAGGGTAGATTCGTGTAAAAGGTTGGGACATAAATGTAAAATGATAACTTTCTTATCGGCGAAGTGTGAAACCATTTTTTTAATCGATTCAAAGAGAAGGCTTACCGAAACAAGTGCTTTATTCCCTTACCTGTACGAAGTAAGTTTTTTGTTTCTTTTTACTTAGTGGCCTTAGGCTAAGCTGATATTACTTCATATGATTTGTCGGGCTGGTACCATGACCTTGTCGAGGTGTTATTCGGCACTCATGTTAGTTGTAATCATAACTCTATTTGATATATTAGATTCATGTTGAAAACTTTATGGGGTATTGATTGCCCCTTGGGATTCATGTTCCCTATGATCATAACTTGGTATGATTTTCCAAAATGGTACTGCAAACTGGTTGGGGTGTCGTTTTCCCTTAGGAATCATATTGCTTACGATCATGACTTGGTATGATTTGTCAAAATGGTGTTGCAAACTGGTTGGGGTATCGTTTTCCCCCTAGGTTTCATGTTTCTTGTTATTATAACTTGGTATATTGGAAACTGGTCTGGGTGTCATTCTTTATTTAGGATTCATGTTGTTCATGATAACTTGGTATGACCTGGCAAAATGGTATTGCAAATTGGTTGGGGTGTCGTTTTCCAGCCCCTTAGGATTCATGTTTCTCATGATCATAACTTGGTATGATCTGCCAATGATGTTATGTAACATACTGTATGTCTTGTGGTACTTGGGAGAATTCTCCTTCCAAGGTTCATGCGAGAAGTCAAGCTGAAAAAAAAAAAAAAAAAAAAAAAAAAAAAAAAAAAAAGCTAACACTAGGCCAGCAAGCATTAGATTGCTGATATGAATGTTGCTTTTCTCGAAGAAAAAAACCCATACATTTCTTTTGGTCAAGTCCATTTTTATAGGCTTCTTAGGAAAGAGTTGTATCAGCCTCTTACCTAGTTTCTTGCATAATTTGGGAAGGATAGTTGCTTGCTTCGTACTTTTCTATATTTGTTTATTGTGAATATCTATACGTTGCCATTTTCCAAGATATACTTGTTCCAGGGTTTTTACATATCATATATTGCTACCAACTCATTGTTAATTGTTGTATTTGTGAAGAATACTCTTGATTGTTACTTTATGGTGTATCTGGGTCGGGATTCGATGGTTCGACCGACCCAGGTACACCATTATTCTACATCCTTCTAATAAATGAAAATAATTTTGCCACTTATCATCCTCTTATGCATTATGTCACATGTCATTTTGTGGTAAGTTTAGATTAAATTATATCCATGTGTCATTTTGTGGTTTTTTATCATTGTATTAAAGTTCATATAATACTTAAATGTAATAATTTTAATAATAAATATATATCCAATTCATTAATGTAATTTCCTTTATAATTTTTAAATTTCTAAATTGAATCTAATTATTTTAATTGTTTATTTATATAAATTATTAGTTTAAATTTAATAGATAAATGAGCATTTCAATTTTAATAATTAAATATTTTTCTTTTTTTCGTATAAATTTAAATTTTCTAAATTGTTAGATCTTCATATGTGTTTTTTTTAATAAACTTATATAATACATAGGTCTCACAGCTAGTTTACAATATTTAAACATTTTTAGCTATTTTGAAAAATAGTATTTAAACATATTTTTTATTTGGGTTATCTATAGAAAAGTTTCAAACTTTTTTCAAAAGTTTCAATAAAGTTCAATTTTTTTTTATTATTTTTTTTTTGAAAAGAGCAGTTTCAATATTTTGAAAAAAATCATATAATCTATCATTTGTTGTTCAAATATAAAAAGGGACTTTTTCATTAATTTAAGCAAAAAAAAAATCAAAATAGTGAGACTTTTCTGTTCAAAAAAAAAAACTTTTAGGATTTTATTGAAACTTTTGAAAAAAATTTAAGACTTTTCTGTAGATAACCCTTTTATTTTGATATATGTTTTGGATTAAACATAATATTTAAATTAAGAAGTGTATTATCATAATATTTTAAAAGTATACAAATAACAAAATAATACCCTATATTTTATAACATATCTAAAAAAAATTGAACAGTTAATATATTTTAAATTAATAGATTAATTAGATTAAACTATAAATCGAATGGTCATAAAGGTTTCAAATACATATAATGATATGAAAAATATCTATTTTATAGTATAGTATGCTATCATAGGTTGTGTTAGGTACGAATTTTTAGTTTTTAATTATTTAAAAAAAACAACTAGAATCAAGAACAAACTTTGTTCATGAGTACCACCATAAAGCTTTATTTAAAATAAAAAATAAAAAAATAAAAAAATAAAAAAAAAAAACTTATAATCCTAAAGCTGCTTAATTTCCTTTAAGAGCTTTTAGCAGCTTTTAATTTTTAGTTTTTATATAATTTTACATATATAAATATTCCTATACAAATAAAAATTACAACTTTTAGTTTTTAAATATTTGCTAATTTTGTCAAACATATCCGCATTAGATATATAGTTAATACAGATAAAAAAATTATAGAGTTATTCACTTAAATGATCATGAGATATTCACTTAAATGGCCATTTGGTTATAACCCTCATTTTCTCTAATTAAAAAAAATCATATAGGCCACGAAAATAAACTCGCAAAACCGTTTAGACAAAAGCTCCACAAGTCCCCACGTTTATTAGTTCATTCTTGTCACATTTTGTCTATATTTTGTCCCTTCCACCTTGCAAAACAAGCAAAGATCACTTAATCTTTAGGCCGAAGAATATGGGAGGGTTTTTTATGCGTAAATGGTGATGTGGCGGGGTGTTTCATGTTGTTATCAACCAATCATATTTGTTTGTGGCAAATGGTCAATTTTTGACCCTTTAGAAATTAAAATAAATAAATAAATAACTTTTTAACATTACTAAAAACCATATAAATGTCAAACATTTTTACACCATTTCACACAAAAAATCATTCAAATATCTTTCTATTCTCTCATTTTTTTTCTCAAAAGTATGGAGCAAAATCAAAATACTCCAAACACTTCAAACACTCCAAATGATCAATATCAATGTTACATTCAAATGTTAATATCCTCAATCCAACAACCTCTATGTACCAACAATTCAATCAACCTCATTTTCAAGATTTTCAACAATTCCAAACACAACCGTTTCAACAATTCCAAACACAACCATCTCAAGTCCCTTTATATCAATCCCCACATATAAAGTTAGACAATGATGAGGACGACCGGGTCAAAGAAACACAACCATCTAAAAAAAGCAACAGAAATGAAAAGCTACAAAAAGGACAGCTTGGAACAAAGATAAGGAGGAAGCTTTGGCTAAAGCTTGGATTTCTATATCGTGTGACTCGAGGACGGGCAACGCACAAACGGGAAAACAGTTTTTTAGGATCGTGTTTTAGATCACTTTCACTCGCTTTTGGAAAGGCAAAAGGATCGAATGTACGATGCGGTTAATGGAAAATGGCATGAACTGCGAGCGACTTGCACCAAGTTTAACGGCATATTTTAAAATCTGAAAAATATGCATAAAAGTGGTACAAACGATTCCAATATTCTATCAACCGCTTGCCAACAATACAAGGTCACCAACGGCGGTAAAGCATTCGGCCACCAAAAAGAGAGGGAAATTTGTCGTAAGGGTCCAAAATGAATCCTTAAGACTTCGCATTTGGAATCGACCACCAGCTCCAACAAAAGGTCAAGAACTTCCGAGTCGGATGTGGGTTTTTGTGTCGACCTCAACGAAACCTGAAGTCCAACTTTGTCAACTGCCGAGAATAGACAAAGGGAAAAAACCAGCGTCTTCAAGCGGAAAAACAAGTAGTAAAGACGTATTTGGGAAAAAAATTGAGAAAACTCTTAAGTTTTTCTCAAAACCACAACCGGATATGGATCCAAAAAATTTAACCACGTTTCTAAAAATCCAAAAACAAGTTCGTGAGAATATAAAGTGATAATCATTTCCTAGGGCTAGTGAATATGTAGTGAACATATAGTGAAGGCGATGTGACACATAAATGGCGTCACTTTTCTAATGCACATATAGTGACCATACCACTCAACCTTATGCAGGTGGATCAATGGATATTAAAAATGTTCTTGTTGCAAGTACAGTTTAGCCTTTTAATGCTCAATGTAGTTTTATAAGGCATACAATATTATTTTCAATTCAAATTGAGGCAGTGTTAAAAGAACACTCAACATTTTTTAAGGCTCTTTATAGTATCAAAAATATAATCTGCAAGTAGGGTTTAGTCGTTCCAAGTCCCTCTAAAACCCTCCCTCTGTTCATCATCGCCTTTCATAGCCTCAATCAGCCATTTCGCAATGACTGAAGTTTGTATCAACAAAACTTGCAAATTGTTTCAAAAATATAATATTAAGACCCTAAAAACAATCATTTTAGTAAATAACTCTATACCAAATAATAAATAGATAGTATATTTCCCTTTTAACACTCAAATAAACCCATTTCATCATTTATTAAGACCAATTCCATCCACAATCATATCCATGAATCTCAAGATTCTCAACAAGACAAACCAACTTCAAACTTTTCACATAGTCAACACACAAACAAACACACACAATCAACACACAAACACCCAAACCAAGCAGCAGAAATATTTATATAGTTTGTGGTCAACATGTTTACCTGAAAGTCAAAACACTTAGCTTTCAGAGCTGTATGAGCCCTCCCCTTCTCCTGATGATGAGCCTGAGCCACTTTCTTGTTGAACACGTTTCATCTCATCATAAGCCCATTCCAGACCATGGCAGTAGTGCACTGGTGGATTAAACCTCGTATCCTCCATGTTATCAGGCAAGAATGCACCATTTTCAATCAGAAATGTTATCGCCTTTCTGTTTTTCTCTTTTGCTGCAGTGTGTAGTGGAGTCCCTGTCATTTAACACAACACAAGTAATCAACTTTCTCTATAATCAATGCATTATGGATGTGTTTTTAATTCTTTTTTTTACATCATTGTTACATGAAGAGATGTAATGGACTTACAGCCACATGCGCCTTTGGTTCTTGCATCAATATTAGCACCACGTTCAAGGAGCTCATCCATAACCTTTACATGACCACCTTTTGCAGCAAGATGAAGAGGGGTTACCCCATGCGATTTGGGGCCTAATGCTGCAACATTTGCATCCATTCCTTCGTCAAGAAGCCTTTTAACCTACCATTGACAAAAACCCATATCAAATTGTTACTTTATAATATATTACTTTGATTTGTTCTCCATAAAACTATAACCTTCATCAACTAATGTGTTTCACTCTTAGAAAGGAAGATTAGATTACTGAACAGAAATGAGCTACGCATACGATTTGCTACTTTAACTAAACTATTCGTTGAAAATAATGTAGGTTCATTTCACCTCTTTAAGATCCCCTTTCCGAGCGCCAACATGAAGCATAGTCCAGCCTCTGTCGTCCCTATCGTTCCCACAACTGATGGAGCGCCTGATGCGCCTCCGATGGCCATTTGGAACCAAGAAGTAATCTTGGGTCATTCTTCAATCGTTTCCGTAATATACCCAAATTAAACAGAACAGAACAGATATATGTGTAGAAATTAACTAAAAACGTTTGCTTTTTAAAACAATAGAACCCTAATTGGTGAACTAGAAAAACCACTCGAATCGAAGATCTGACGACTTCTTTTACATGATTTTGAGTAAACAACTAAACGAAAACGAAAAAACTTAACGGCAGAAATGATTGCCCATGTTGTAGGGAGCGAAAGGATTCAATCCAGGACCAAGCACACGGAGATTTTGAAGCTTAATCACGAATAAAGAAAGCGATGATGATGGCAGGCAAGAAATGTCAAACATATTAACAAATCCCAAGAAAAAGCTTAATTGATGATTTTAAATCGAATACAAACGCTAGATATAGAAGTTCAGAGAAGTCCCACTACGATTTGTGATGAGTTTGGCGGTTTCATGTGGGCAATTTAAATAATTTGGGAAAGATGAGATCGAATTTAAGACGCAACACAAACCCTAGATTTTGCAGACTTCTTGGCAATGGAGATAGAATAGATGTGTCGGATTTTGGATATTTGTGTCTCAATTTATTGGGCTCCCAGCCTTCCACTATAAAATTTGCACTTCAACCCCTTGACTACTCAACCTAATCTTATGCAACCCTCCGTAAATTTGTAATCAAAATTACGTTTGTGTGTTTTTCACCTAAGCGCATCCCAAAAGACTTCTTTGTTAACCCGTCTCATAGTTCACATACATGATAATGTTTTCTGGTCGAACTCATAGTAAAGTCTATTTCAAATAGGAACAAATGATTGCAAAATTACATTTTTCTACTTATTTTCATGTACATTGTAATGTATCTACAGAAAAATCCTTAAATTTTGACTTTAATAATGAAAAAAACATGATAGTTTTAATGATTAAGCCCATGAATCATGATATTGGCTAATGTTTGCAAAATAGGTATAATATATGGTTACCGCATTTGTGATTGGTTGTTTGGCTAAACTGGATTCCATGTCATTTAATAAGATGTTTAGGTGGATGTTAGGGTTAAACTAAATTACGGAAACTCAGGCCGATCTATTGGTTTTTTATATCCAGGACAAGACAATAAAATAATGCTTTTTTATTTATACAAAATAAATGTGTTATATATAAAACTCATCTCTAGAAAATTATAATCAAACGAAATCCATATGACTACAAACAATAACATATATAAATCACAAAAAAAAAAAAAAAAAAAAAAAAAAATCTCCAATATATAATTAGTTTTCAACAAATTTTACTTCTTCAAGGGTGACAATGCATTTTGTTACAATGTTACACATTGCTTCCGAAATCATTTGTTCAACGTTGTTGTTTCTTGCACTTACTATAACAAAAAGTAAAGAAAAGTTAATAGATATGTCAACGATATAAAATTAGAACAAAAATACAGACAAAAATATGTGTTTTTTCAATATTAGGAAAAATAAAGAACATTCTACTACAAACATGAAGCAGAAAAATACAATAAGATTTTTCCTAATTTACCCCTTCTATCTCAAAACCAAACAAAAAGAAGAAGAAGTCTGACCTGTTTCAAAAACCAAAAAAAAAATCATAGTTTGTGTTTTTTCCATTTTCCAAAATATTAAAAGTGATATAGAAAATGAATCAAAGAATCATAAACAAGAGATCCTTTAAAAAAAACTGTGTCATAGCAACAAATAACATTGGAAAAATTATATACTTATGCCCCTAGCTAATGCCTTGAGATATTCAAAATAATCATAACTCAACATGTCTCATAGCAACAAATAACATTGGAAAATTTATATACTGCCTTGAGATATTCAAAATAATCATAACTCAACAGTAAAGTATACCTCCTAAATCACCATAAAAATCCAGAAAGAAACTCTAGAAATTAATAGGAGAAATCGGAACTATGAACTCCTTATTTTGAACTAAAAAATTCAGCACATATTCAAACTCTTACATATCCTTATTTTGAACTAAAAAATTCAGCACATATTCAAACTCTTACATATCCTTATTTTGAACTAACAAATCCTGAAGCAAACCACAAGAAATCAAAAATCAAACTTCTTGAAGCAAACTACCATAATCAAACAAATAAACACAAAATCAAAGATGAAAATTTCGAAAAATAATTGATACATTTCGAACAAATTGGGAATCAGAAATAGAAAAATAGAACACATAATTACATCTTTAACGGATGGCGTTGAACAGATGAACTCCAGGTCTCCAACCTGAACAATTAAACTTCAATCGAATCAAAATAGTGATAAAAAAAGGATAATTATAATATGGAATCAGAAATACAAGAATGACAATCTTAGTTGGAACCCCAACTCATACAAATAGGCAAATCGTGAATAAGAAATAGAAAATAGAAATTAGATTTAGAAGTTAGAACCAACCGATTTAGAGAAGAATTCGACTCCTCGATCTTCTACAAACTTCATATTTCTAGGCGTTGTTGATTACACCTCCAGTATCGTTTCAAGTGCAAGCTTGCGTCGGGTCGGGCCTGCTGAAACCTAATGCACACTCTTTAATTATCACAAGCACCATATCGCAAAAGGGAAATGGAGAGTGGCTTCTTCCTCTTCAGCTACTAGTGTTAATTGTAGGGTCATGCAAGGTGTGTGGAATAGGTGAAATTGTGGAATGTTTGTAATGTGGACTTCGTGGACTTTCAAAAACCCAGCTCGCAACTTGTTGGATGCCCTAATTTCAAGGTAAGAGCTTTACATTTTATGGGTGATGATTAGGATAGGAGTGTAAAAGTTGTAGTGTTGTAAGAGCATCCACATCGCAGACTGTCAATATCTTTTACAATACCACATACTTCATTTTACATGCCACCTAGACTAACTCCTTTCAATATTAGAAAGGCTTGCAAATCATATTTAATATTAAAATAATGTTTCACTTTTAATACTTTTCAACTTAATCATGTTTTTATTACATTAACATATTAATATATATATATATATATATATATATATATATATATATAAATAATTTATTTTGTTTTCCAAGTTTCATTTTATTTGTGTTTACTTTAACTTCAATTTTTAATTTAATTATTATTTAATTAACAAATATTATAGTTTATTTAAAAAGAATAATTGTAAGCATTAAATTAGAATGAATACAACTATTTAATTTAAACATAGACCACAAAATACATAAAAATGCATGAACGGGTTGAACCAGTGGTAGAACCGATTGAACCCGAAACCTGTCACCAGATCGGTTCAACTAAAAAACCGATTTTTAAAACACTGATATTCAATTAACAAATATTAATAATTATTATTTATTTAAAATATAAATGACCATAAACATATTAAATTAAAAGAAATACAATTATTTAAACGTAATTGATTAGAGTGGGTAAAACTGACATCATTTTACGTTTAATAACATATCGAGTTGCATTTCATACAACTTTGTTTGTTGTTCTGGTAATGTTGAAGGATCAATTTCTAATAATTTCATCGCTAGTTTACTCTTTTGACGTTCATCTTTTTTCATATCGTGGTCTTTCAAAGTTGTTGTGTATTCTTTCATTATGTTCATTTTTTCCATCTCAATATTAATTTGGGTTTGCATCGTATCTTGTATACTTTCAAGAGAGGTGCTTGACATCGGTGTTTGTTTCCCTTCACCTTTAGAAGCTTTTCTTTCCACTGGACGAGGATTTGATATTGGCTCATTAACTGATATGTTTGTATTTGAGGATGATGATGTGTATTCGCCGGATATACTATTCTTAGTCCTCTTTAGCCCAATAGATTCCATTTCGTTGGAATCTCTCTATCTTTCTTGTATATTGGTACATCATTTCTCCTCATCATGTAATGCCATCCAAACATGCAAAAAAGTGATTTCGGAACCCTCTGATGAAATATATAATGCTAGAGCCCTATTTTTTGTCTTCTTCATTTAAACCACGTTCACGCCTATGTTGGATTTGTTCATAACATCCAACAAACTTAGAAACAACATGATTCAGTTTGCTCCAACGATTCTGAAGGGCCTGACTATTCCTCTCCGCCTGGGTACTTTTCTTACAATACATATCGTAATATCCGGCTACACGATGCCAGAAGTTTGATCTATGTTGATCAGTACCAATTGTTGCATCTTTACCTATGTTAAGCCATGAACTACACAACAATATGTCATCTTGTGTTGTCCATCGACTATTCTTTCTTGTTTGTGTAGTTTTTCTTTTACTATTGTTTGGTTTTTATTGCACTGGATGTGGTTGAAAATTTGGTAAATGCGGGTAAAATGGCATTTGAAAATTTGGTGGACCAATACCGAAACCATTAGACATTTGATAACTAGGATTCCTCATTTGATTATTTGTGACAACCTGAAAATTTTTGCTTTGAAAGCTCTGTCAGCTAACTCAACTCAGTGACAAACTCACTCCTGCTATCATTTAGCACAATTTGGAGCCTATTTGAGTGTTCTGAGCCTAGTACACTTAAGGAATAAGTGTTACAAAGTACATGTTAGAGCCATTGGACATCATACAAGCCTTAACCATCACCACCATGAGTTCACGGCCACAACACTTAGAGTTTACGGCAGTAAACTCTAAGTGGGCCATAAACTCACTCTTATATATGTAAGTCTTGGCCATTTTTCTCATTCCTCCTTTCCTTGGCTAATTTTTCTCCATTCTCTCTCAAGTATCATCCTACGTTTCATATTAGATCTTCAAAAGTTGTAAGTATTCTTCCTTGATTTGTTGATATATCTCATTATCCAGTGTTAATACATGATTCCATCCATGAAATCATCCCATTTTCTAGATCTTCAAGTTTCACCAAGAACACATACTAGTGTTCTTGGGCAAGATTGACCATTTCAAGCCTCTATATCGTAAGTGCTCTTCCCTACACTTGATATCTAGTTAGGAAACATGCTTAGAGACTTGAAAACATCACCAAAATCATCATTTAGGGAGTTTACAGTCCAAGAGTAAACACCCTTGGCCGTAAACTCCAAGTATGGTCAAATTGTGGACCTTAAACACATCTAGACTCTTGCTTAACCTTAGAACACTTGAACCCTAAAGACTCCTTACCTTTAAGACCCTAAATATGACCATTTAGAGAGTTTACGGCCAGGAGTAAACTCCCTTGGGCCGTAAACACCTCAACACTCTCCGATTAGTGGGTCT